TTTTCATCGATTTCATAGATCTCCCGAACTTTACGCGCTTCCAGAACCACACGTGTTTTCTTCTTCCGGATTTCCATCATCTCACTGAAGTCGCCTTCCTCTGCAATTTGAAGACAATAAGAGTTTCCAAAGAAAAAAAAATTAGTAAATTTTTTTAGTAAAAAAAAGTTTTTGACAAAACAAACGACCACCCGAGCGATTCCGCATATACAACGAAGAGGCAGTGGGTACCAGCAGGAAATATGCAGCTCAGAATCGAAGAGCCTGGTGTAACTCTGCTCTCGTGTGGGAGCATCATTAATAAGGTATACACGAAATAACTTCCTAGAAATTCTTGATAAATTTCATTTTTTGTAAATTCTTTGTAAATTTATGTCTTTTCCCTTTTTTCTTTAATATAAGAGAATAAGACAAAAAAAACTAGTTCCTCCACATGCTGAAAGGATAACAGCAAGTGTGTTTTGGTGCAACAGGGAGTCAACCTTTTTTGCATTCGATCCCCCACCCGGAAAAGGAGCTCATCAACAGAGTGGCCAGCAACTATCTGATGACAGCGTGTTTTCCTCTACACTTTCACTTCTGATACGTTGTTATAATATTTTCGAACGATTATGTCAAGAATCTCAACAAAAAAGACCGGCATAAAATTGCCGGAATATTACAACCAGCTATTTGTAGGAGTTGATGTATTGGTACACACAGGGCTCATACCTAATAAGGCTGTTATCTAACTTGAAACCGACGGTGTCTGAAAATCTTATGAATATCGGCCACAAATACATCTCACATTCCCACAGCTTTATTAATTCAAAACTACCAGAATAGTAATTTCGAATTTCTTTCTTACATTCATCAAATGAAATTATGAAAATTTGCGACTCGCACGAATGGTACGATTACCATTGAGCATCGAGTTAGTTAAAATTAATCCAAATACTCAAAGTATGAGTAAAAACTCAACCTGTAGCAGCCGGACAACCAGTATGGGTGATATCTCATGTCAGTGATTTTACTGATAGCAAGATATTATTAAGACCGCCAGAAAATGTGGGCATCCCAGGTTACTGGCATGCAGGCACAACTATGAGCGCAAAAAATAATGTAGTCATCATCCTGGCAAAATTCCCGGCACATTCAAAAAGAACGCGAAGTTAGCCGGCTACTATAGTAGTACAGCTTCAAAGCAGTACCAGCTAAAAAGTCTTGGTTGCTGATGACAAGAAAATACTTTGCGTTAAAAAGACATATGATAAAAACAAAAAAAAAAGATGAAAAATAAAAACTCAAAAAAATTTAAGGTAAATTGGAGGCATAATGTAGCACCCTGAAAATGAAATTTTGGCTTAAGGAGAAGAGGTACATTGTGCCGCAAATCTGCTCAAAAATTCCAACTATAAATTTACCTCAAAAGATAAAGAGAAGAAAAAGATGAAGTGGCAAAAATAGATACTGCTGGACCATAAGTTATTTGCTTCGAGTTTATCTTTCTCTCTACACTTTGGTAGTCATAAGTCACGTCAGACATCGGCCAAGTCGTCAAAGTTTCCATATTCAGGTGAAACTCCTGGGAGGAATTTTGGCGGAAAATCGAGAGAAACATTACCAGTTTTTCAAAAATGGTTTTAAAAATTGAACATGAATTCTCGAGAGCAGGATATATCCAGCTCTCACCTTCTACTTGGTTTCAAAAACCCAATTCATGATGAAAATTCAGCATTCACAAATTATTTTTTTTCAAAAAACCATTCCTCTGATCCACCGTTTTCGTCGGATACTCATCCCGATAACTTGCTCATTGGTCACAGGATATTTATCTTGAGAACTTGGCCATTAGTACATCTTGTAAGGCGATGTTAACGGCGACTGAAGAATTTTGTTGAGACCTTCTAGCAATGCTGACAAAAGGAACACTGCAGGTCACGAATGAGGAATGTACCGGAACCAAATTTCGGGGAAAATTTTGCTGCGTCGATGAAAGCGGAGACTTGCTACAGCAGTGCATAATAGATATTATGATTCTAAATAGTCGAGGTACATGAGGACGAAGCAAGTCGAGCCAAAAACAAAAAAAGGTGAAAAGACAAAGCTAATCTTGGGAATATCTAGAAGGCCAAGACCTACGAGCAGCTCCTTGAGGTCATCTATACGGCCCCCCCCCTTGGCTACGCCCACACTCTTCCCGTACATAAGCCCAGTTTTTGGGCACAAAACTCAGTCTCCCCGCTCAAATCCGACTGAGTGGCGCGGGCGAGTTGTTCGCCCACTGCCCTCAGTCCTCACTACCAGGAAAGGGGGTCTGCAGCTTAGAGGGACTAAGTGGCG